TCTATACAAAGAGATAGATTCAAAAATACTACAAATATATAAAGTGGAATTCTAAGAATGTTCAAGTAACCCACAGGAAGGCAGGAAAAAGAATACAAATGAAAAACAGAGTGAACAAATAGGAAACAAAGAATAAAATGGCATATTTAAGACCTAACATATTAATAATTACATTAAAAGTAAATGATGTAAATACAATTCAAAGACAGAGATGAGTAGAGTGGATTTAAAAAGCACAACCCAACTGTTGTCTACAACTCACTTCAGACAAACAGTATAGGTATGTTGAAAGTAAAAGGATGGGAAAAGATATACCATGCAAACATTAATCAGAAGAAAGTAAGAGTGGCCATGTTAATATCAGATGAAGTAGGCATGAGAGCAAAGAAAATTACCAGGACAGAAGGGGCCATTATATAATGATAAAAAGGTTAACCTACGAAGAAGACACAGCAGCCCCAAATTTACATACACCAAACAATAGAGCTGCAAAATATGTGAAGCAGGAGCTGATAAAACTGAAAGGAGAAAAGACAAAACCACAAATAGAGCTGAGAATTTCAGCACCTCTCTCTCAACAATTGATAAGACACCAGACAAAAAATCATTAAGGATATAGAACTCAACAACACCATCAACCAACAGGATCTAATCAACAATTATAGAACACCCAACAACAACAGAATACACAATGGATTGAATTAAGGATTCAAACTAGACATCATACAGAAACATAAGAAAATTTCCAGTACTTGGAAACTAAGCAGCACACTTCTAAATAATCTGTGGGTTAAAGAGGAAGCCTTGAGGGAGCATTGAACTCAGTCACAACAAAGATGCAACATGTCAAACCTTACATTAGAAAAGAAGAAAAATCTGAAGTCAAAAATCTAAGCTCCCATCTTAAGAAACTAGACAAAGAAGAGAAAAATAAGCCCCACTCAAGCAGAAGGAAGAAAATAAAGAGCAAAAATCAGTGAAATTGAAAGCATAAAAAAATAGAGAAAATCAGTGAAATAAAAAGCTAGTTCTTTCAAAGATGAGAAAAATTATATAAACCTCTGGCAAGACTCCATAATTGCCTTTGAGCATTAAAAACTCAACAGACTTTGATATCAAAGTTCTGAGTTTCTGTGACACAACTCATGTTCTAGCCAGTATAGCATAGTGGTTAAGAACACAGACTCTAGAATCAGACTGCCTAGATTTGAATGAGATCATGTTATGTGAGTCATTTAGAACACCACCTGGTATTTTGTGAATGTTAAATGTTAACCATGGTTAATTATGAATGATGATGGAGAGCATAAGCATGATCCATTGAAGAAAATTCTAATTATTCTATGCAGAAAGAATATATTATTGCTGCCTTGTTTTTAAACTGTACGGGACTAATAGAACCTGAGAAGGAACATCAGCTGTACCACTGTTAATCCAGGACTTTCTAATATACAGAGACAGTACTGCTCAATTTTACATTTCTGGGTGCTCACCGGCAATGTTTCTTTTGAACCTAGGATATCATTACATTTATGAACTATGCAATCTGGTTATATAGCACAAACTGCTGTTTTTTCTAGAAGTATGCCTATTTGATATAAAAAGAACTGCCAGCTTCAAAAAACACTATAGCCCAAATAAAGGCAAACAAAAAAAGTCTTATAAAAAATATATATTTGTGAATGAGTGGTTGTACTTAAAGAGTTCCTACAAATCAATGAGAAAAACATTTACACTTCAATAGAAAAGGGAGAAAAGGATAGACTACTTCCTAGAAGGAAAAGCCTCAAAAAGAATAAAATACTTAGGTATAAATTGAACAGAAAAAGTACAAACTTATATTCTGAAAACTACAAAACATTGTTGAAAGTTTTAAAGACCTACATAAATTGGAAGGATGTCCCGTGTTCATGGATTTGGAAGACTTAGATGGCATTGCTCCCCAAATTGATCTACAGATTCAACATGATTCCTCTCAGAATCCTAGGTGGATTTTTTGCAGAAACTGACAAGCTGATCCTGAAATTCATGTGGAGACTTAAAAGACCCAGAATAACCAAAACAGTCATGAAAAAGAAGAACAAAGTTTCTTTGCAAATTCACACTTTCAAATTTCAAAATTTAGTTCCAAGCTATAGTAATCTGGATAATGTGATACTAGCAGAAGGATAGACATAAATCAGTAGAATAGAATTGAGAGACCAGGAATAAACCCTCACCAGAAATAAAGTCAGATGATTTTCAACAAGGTGCCAAGATAATTATGCAAAAAGCATATTCTTTTCGACAAATGGTGCTGGGATAACTGGATATCTGCATGCAAAAGAATAAAGTTGGACCCCTTGCTTTCACCATATACAGTAATTAACTCAAAATAGATCATAGACGTAATTATAAGAGCTAAAACTATAAAACGTTTAGAAGATAGGAATAATTCTTCATGACCTTGGAGTAGGCCAAGCCTTCTTAGGTGTAACACCAAAAGACAAGTGACTAAAGGAAAAATAGATGATTTAGACTTCATCAACATTAAAAATTTTGTACTTCAGAGATACTATCAAGAAAATGAAAAGACAACTCACAAAACGGGAGAGAATGTTTGCAAATCATATATCTGATAAGGGACTTTTAGAATATACAAAGAACTCTTACAACTCTTTCAACAATAAAATATCAGCAAAAGATTGGATTGATAGACATTTCTTCAAAAAATATATATAAATGTCCAATAAGCACATGAGAAGATGTTCAGCATCATAAGTCATTAGGGAAATGCAAATCAAAACCACAAGATACCACTTCACACCTACTTGGATGGCTAAAATTATGGCTAATGGATATGGGATTTCTATTGGAGTGATGAGAATATCTTAAAATTAGACTGTAGTGATATTTTCACAACTCTGTTAATAAACTAAAAGTCATGAATTGTACACTTTAAATGGGTGAATTTTATGGTATATGAATTATGTCTCAGTAAAGCTGTTAAAAAGGAAAAACTATTTGTTCTCTACCCAATAGTGCTGCTTTGGGAATCTATTCTAAGGAAATGCGTTCATTCATTCATTCCTCCAGTATTTATTGAGTGACACTGTTCTAGTGGGCATAATTTTAGATGCTGGGGATACAGCAATAAACAGAATAAGGAACTAATCAGGTATAACTAACTGAGGGATTTTTTAGAAGGAGGTTTATAATAACATTAATTTCAATAATAATAAAAAGCTAGAAACAAATGATCCAGTGGCAGACAAATTATGGCATATGGTGGAATGTTATGTAGCCATTTAAAATTAAATTTTCACAGAATAGTCATTGATGTGAGAAAATATAATGTGGAATAAATGCTACATGAAATATCATACACCACCATGAAATCAGTATTATTTCTGTAGGTAGTTATATTTTGGCTCTAGAGCCCACCTTTCTATCCAATACCGTGTGTTTTTATGTTTTTCTGAATTTTCTAAATCTCCTACAGTAAAATGTTATTCTTATCCTAAAAGCTATCAACACCTGTTCCCCTGAGTTTCCTTAACACTAACTAAGCAGAAGCGCTGAACTGTTGCAGGCCTTGCTTTTAAATGCTTGATGTAGGTTTGTTTCTTTTGGGGTTAAGAAAAAAGACTATGGGGAAAATCGGAGATGCTGCTTATCTGGCCACATGCCCAGTGGAGCAAGCAGTGAGGATAAGGTGTGGAGAGCCTGAGGAAAAGGCCTGGAGACAGTGTACGAGACATACAGGTTTATTGGGACTTAGGTACAGGGAGGGTCCAGGGGCGGCCGGCTGGACAGAGTTGTGCGCCTGCTACTGTGGGCAGAGAGGGAGTTGCTTATACAGGCAGGGGACAGAGGCTACGTGCTTGCCAAGAAAAACTGTCTTTGGTAGGACCAGCGTTCCCAGGAACAGCAGCTCATGTGGAAAGGTTCTGTGTTCCTTCAAGATGTTCTTTGAGTGAGATAAGATCTGGGTTGGCCAGGCCCTGGATCATCACAAATCCCAGATGGTTGGTGTCCTGCCCAGAAGGGGGCCAGAAGGACACATGGCTCTTAAAGGGCTCACAGTTTATTGCTGAGCGTGGGAAACCCTACACTGCTGAGTAAAAGTAGAATTTTTCATATGCCGTTATGAATATGGAATTATGTGATTCGAAAGAGAAAGGAAAAGGTATCAACTCTTTATTAGGAGCTGTCTTTTTTTTCCTTGTGGTGTGTGTTTTGTGTTCAGGTTGGTTGATTTTTGCTTCTTTCAGTGTCAGCAGTTTTTATTACATCAAGAGCGAGTGTGTATTCGATGCTAGGCACTTTAATACAGTACCATATCCGGCCCTCATGCCAGGTCCTACAGCACCTCTGAGGAGGGTGTCATCATCCCTCTTTTACAGATGAACCAATTCCAGCACATTAGGGTCACACAGCTGGTTTACTCCAGAATCAGCACCATGTTCTCGACCGCTGCGCTCGCTGCCTGCTAGGAACCAGTGAGGTGAAAGAGTATAAGGCTTTGCTCCAGGAGGGGTTTTCAGTCTAATGGGGGACTTAGGTACACACGTACATAGATAAAATGAGGCAATGTAGGATACGGTCCTAAAGGGTATATAATATGGAAAATTAGGAAATAGTGGAATATGATAAAATGTTGATGGTTTGCTGTAGGCAATAACTGTAAAAGATTTTAGAAGAAAATTGGAGACCACAAACCATGTTTGCCTATTTCTAGAATATACTTACACCATTGTTTGCTCCTGCTACTTCATATTCTGTTTGTTTCCTCTTTAATTAATGTTAATTAATTAAAATTTAAAATGTTCTTAATTAAAAAGCAAATAAACAGTCTGTATGTGTGTGATTTAGTTTCCTTTTTTAGATTGTAGTCCTTGAAGTTAGATGTGTTTTCTGCATTATTTGTAACTTGAGATTATCCAGCAAGTGACCAACATGTCAATAGGTGGTAGTCTCTCGATAAATGTGTGTGACCATCTAACCTTTGGTTGTTGCAGGCGACGTGGCTGTATGGTATACAGATAACAGGTTTACTCCTGGTCTGCATTCTTCAGTTTCTTAACTCCATGATTCTTGGATCATTGCTTATTAGTTTTAACCTTTCAGTATTAATTGCAAGAAAACTTCAGGTAGGACTTTTTTTGTCCTTAATCAGAGTAAATTTTTTTTCTTAATTATGTGGTTGGTTGGACCTTATTTTCATACAGCTTACAAAGGAAAATTTAAGACCAAATTCCCACTAAAAAACACTAGTGACATTATTTGCTTTTTTTGAAATGCATGGTATGGCCTTTCTGTTTTCAGGCTTTCTGATGTGCCATCTCTTTGTTTTGACATTTATTATTTCTTAGAGAACTGGAATCTTAATTCAATTCAGGGATTAGCCAAAGATGCGTATTTGAATGCCAGTGATTTAAAGTTGAAATAAAAGATTAAAAAACTTAACTTTTTTCTGTGTGTGAATTCAAGAATAAGGAGAACTTGGGGCTGGCCCGGTGGCGCAAGCGGTTAAGTGCACGTGCTCTGATGCAGCAGCTCGGGGTTCACTGGTTCAGATCCCAGACACGCACCAACGCACCGCTTGGCAAGCCATGCTGTGGCAGCGTCCCATATAAAGTGGAGGAAGATGGTCATGAATGTTAGCCCACGGCCACTCTTCCTCAGCAAAAAGAGAAGGATTGGCAGATGTTAGCTCAGGGCCAATCTTCCTCACAAAAAAAAAAAAAAAAGAATAAGGAGAACTTGTTCCTTGTGGGAATGTGTTCATCACAGTCTTTCAAGTTGGCAAACCCCTTGTTATTATTTGATGTAATTCTTTCTCCCATCCTTCCATACCTTACTGATTTTTAAGTGAAATAAAATTAACTCTGTTTTGAGAATTCTGAGAATCCAAATAACCTTTAGAAATAATGAGACATTTCCTAGGGTATCATGTTTGGAAATATTGACCTCATCTTTGGCTTTATTATATAATTAAAGTTTCTTACATTTACATGAGATTTAAGGGTCAGTTGTTTTTCCTTAATAATGTCACAAAGCCTGTTTTCTTTCTCATAAACAATTCTGTATCAAGAAGCCATTTTGTTTCCACTTGGGGAAGAATAACTCCTTTTTCTTATTAGTCTTTGAGTGAGAGCTGCTATGGACAAACTGTCACGAGGATTTTAAAAAACAGGTTTTTAGTTGACTATCAGATATAGTAGTTCTCGTTCATCCTTTTAACCTTAATTATAAGTAAATGTCACTCATATTTGAACTCTTTAGATATTATTGTATTTGTATTTGATAATCTGTAAAGTTATCTGAAGGTTATAAGAAAACTATTATATATCAAAGAGCACAGTTTACTTTGTTTTACACCAATAGATATTTAATTGGACTGTCGCTCTGTCTGTGATATATGAATTAATGGATAAATGATCAAAAAATTTGTTGTCAGTATATCCTGTACCTTCTAAGTGGCAAACCCCAAAACTGGTTGCGAAAGTCTTAAAAAAACAAAACTAGGATACATTTCTTCATCTTGGAGGTCATTATTAAGGAATTCATGTACTATTAGAAAATTACGAGTGTTAAGACAATGTAACCTCATGAAAGTCAGTAGGCTGTGTTTTCCACATATTTTCGCTGTAGGTTGCAGTGTTCCCTGTATGATCCAATGTTTTAAATCCTTAAGTAATCTCATTTTAAATATTTATAAAGTTATATTAAAATTTAAGAATTAAGACTCAACTCTTTTAATTTCTAGAAAAATCTGAAAACTGGAAGCTTCCTTAATAGGCTTGGGAAACTTTTGTTACATTTATTTGTGGTTCTCTGTTTGACGCTTTTTCTCAACAACATTATTAAGGTAGGTTAATAAAATGACGTATTTAATTTAACGTTACTGAAGGTTACCAGTTTTACTTTAAATAGGCGCAGTTTTAACTTTGTTTCAGTAACAGGATTATTTTCTTGATTTTAATCACTGATTTCTATTCACTCTTCTTTAAGATGTGCTACTTGGAACTCACCTTTTGAGTTATTAAACTTTTTAAAAGCTGAACTTCAAAGCATTAAGCACATATTTCTCTAAATTTAAAAAATTCTGCTTTTTAGAGATAGTTCTGTGCACCATGGAAAAGAAAGATGACTGATTTTTACTGGGTTAAGTTAATAAATGAACTGGCTTTACCATGAGAAGCACAGTGATTTGAGATGATTCTGCCCCTCCTAGAAGGCCAGTCTCGGGACAGGAGACACCTGCGTGTACATGACATGTTCCTTCCCCTCGTAAGAGAATGGCAGTCCCGCTTCCTGCCTGTTGCCTGGCAGAAAAGCAGCCTCTTCCCTCCACCAGCCACGTTACACACCTCCACCCCAGGTCCTTTTTGCTGTCTTCTGAAACTCCGGACACTTCAGTACTTTTCAAAAGCTTATTTGAGCAGAACAATCAGCATTTCTGAAAGACTGGCTGAAAGATACGCAGTCTATCCATTTGCCCACTCCACGCATTCCCTCTCTGTGCCTGAATTGAGCCAGTCAAGAGCTGCACGCCTGGACCCCGAAGAATAACTCTCTTCACTTGCACTTGGTGTTTTGCCAGCGACCTACAATGAGAGGAATTAGAAACATAGTCTGTGAGACTCCTTCTGTTTTTGCTGTACCCATGGGAAAAATTTCTCTTGAGTCTCAGTTCTAGAACTGTTAGGATCTCTTCTGAGCAACTAGTTTCTTTTAATCTCATGACCCTGCCGGTAACACAAATGCTTTTATCTTCCTCTCTTCGTTTGCTACTAGAATACATAAGCCCAGATTTGTGGCTCCTCTCTAGTAAATATATTTGTTTACTAACCTCAGTTCTGGATTCATCTTATTTTCTTTTCTATCTTCATTTTTCTTCTGACAACAGTTTCTTCACCCATTTATGTTATATGGATTTTTGTGAGCCATAAATTAAAAATAAAAGTATATGAGTTAAAATTATGATCACTGATGATAACTGCTGGCATTTGTCTGTTCCCTCCTTGAGCATTCCTGCCATGTCTTGAACTGTCTCTGTGTGAATGAGTCTTACAGCAGTGGTACCTGCAGACAGAAAACCCCAAAGCTGAACAGGCCTTATGGGCTGTGTACCTATTTGAGGTTTCAGGTCATCATATCATTGGTTTTCTCATCTAAATAATTGTCCTCACTGGAGTTTAGCTCTCTCTCTCCCTGACCAAAGAAGCTCATCTTTTATCTACTTTATTTACTGAACTTATACATAAGGTTTTGTTTGAAAAAATGATTCTGCTAAAAAAAAAAAAAAAAGGGAATGGAAGGAGCATAAAAGTCCCTCCTTTAGAATTCCTCAGTTCTAAGAACAGAGTCCTGTGAAAGTGGACACTGCATGTATATGTCCAGTGGGAGCTTAGCAGGAAACTGTGCCTAAAGCACTAACAGCAGTTTTTGTTTTCTCCCTCCCCAATAGAAAATTCTTAACCTGAAGTCAGATGAACACATATTTAAATTTCTGAAGGCAAAATTTGGGTTTGGAGCAACAAGGTATGACTGAATTTAAAGTATATGTTTGCTTTGTTATATTAAATCAGCAGGGACTTTACAACTTAAGTTATCATTGTGACTTCAACTATTAATTTCAGGCTCATTTTGAGAAAAAAATTGTAGTTTACTTGTCTTATATTGAATTTAATACTTTGCTTTCCATTTGTTCCCTAGAGATTTTGATGCAAATCTGTATCTTTGTGAAGAAGCTTTTGGCCTCCTGCCTTTTAATACATTTGAAAGGCTTTCAGATACTCTGCTTTTTTATGCTTACTTATTTGTTCTGTCCATCACAGTGATTGCAGCGTTAGCTGTTGCCTTCCACAATCTCAGGTATGGCCCGTTTCAGAAACCTAATGCTGTGCTTTAATGAACGTGTTCTATGCTGCAGAAAAATTGCTAAATTGAAAATCAAAATATGAGACACAGAACAGAGTAGTGTTGTTCAGCTTAAAGGGGGAAATATCCAATCTAGAGTGGACTCCACTCTCGGTAGTTAAGGGTGGAGTAGTGAAGAGACAGCACAGAGTAGTGGATGCCGCGCACGTGCTCTGGGTTGAAGTCCCAGCTGGCACACCTGGGGACACTGGGATCTTTGAGCCTATTTTACAGCCTTAAAGTATTTCCATTTCCTTATCTGTAGAATGGGAATAGTAAGAGTCCTTACTCTGCAGGTTTTTGTGAGAGATCGGTAACTGAGAACAACATAAAGTATTAAAATAGTGCCTCATGCCTAGAATATTTTGTAGATTTTAGCTGTCATTAGTTAGTATTATTATTATGGACTCATAGTGTCTATTTTGTTCCCCTTATTAGTTTCCTATGTTTTTCTATGTTTCTTCCTCTAGCTGCCTTTTTTATTTCTCGTGAAATATCAAGAGTTAACTATTGTTTATTTTGTTGTGTTTTGTTTAAGGGCTTATAAATTTGTAGTAGACTATAATTATTAGCATCTACTAAAGTCCTAAGTAATAATTGATGAGTTTTCAAAACTTAACATGTCTACTAATCTACTAAAAGAAAAAGTCAAAGAGTATAAATACTTTTTAAAAGCATGTAGAATACCTGCCTGTCAAGCTGATGGAGGTTTTTGCATTTACTGTCTTTATTAAATTGAAAGAAAATTAAGTGTAAGAATTGGAAGCTACTGTCATTTGTGAAAACTTAATGAAGCTCAGAAGGAAGCCCTTTTTCTATGTCATTACCTTGCCAGTTAAGGTGCTGGGGAGCTGTGATTCACAGCCACCAGAATGCTGTTCTGGGAGAAAGTCCTTAAAATGAGCCCAGATCAGTTGAGGCGTTTTATGACTATTAAGAATAAAGCAACATTGAACCATGAAAATATTTCATTGACTATAAACTATTTTAGTATCTTTCAAAAGTGTTCTTTTTTATACCTAGCCCAAGATAAAATTTAGCCCTGTGAAAATAGATGGAAGTTATTCTAGACAGCATAATTTAATATTATTCCAGACATACCAGGTGTCGATAGGATTCTAGACTGCATGCAATGCAGAAAGTGCAGGTGGCCTGCAGTGTTTTGTGAAAATATCTGTCATGCTCAGTGTGACCCTGTGAGCCGTCTCTGGAAGCTGATTTGGTATATGATTACAGATAAAGATTTTAGAGCGTCTTCATCCACCAGGTAGGGATATTAGGACTTTATTAGAGGAAAAGCACTACATTAATCAATTTAAGAATTATAGTATCTTCATATGAAGTAACTTTTAAGTAATTTGAAGGATATTTTATCAGTGCCACGTATTTAAAATATTTCTACCTTTTTAGTACTAGGAAGGATGATACTATTACGTTTATACGACACATTTACCTTAGTGTGAAGGATACAGCTGCAAGGGGCACGCTCTTCTGTATTCATGGGATTAGTAAGAGCTCTCTAGCGTGGCTGGGAGGACAGTGGGAAGTGTTGCAGAATTCTCCCAGGTATCAAGGAAAGATGACAGCATATGTTCTCCTTGTCTGGAATTATCTTTTAGTATCAATATGGAAGCCCGAGTTTGGGTTGTAATATATAATGTTGAAATAAAGATTACTACCAGTGGTGAAAATTACCTCAGAGTATCATTTTACTTTTCTTGTGAATCTAGGGTGGTAAGGAGAGGATTTCTAGGAAATAATAGTTCTCAAGTTACATAGAAGCATTGTACATATCCAAGTCTATTGAATTTGTGGGGCTATTCATATCCAAGTCTATTGAAAGAGAAGTGGGGCCTTTATAAAAGTATTATTTTTCTCTTACACTGGTGGCCCTTACTGTTGTTTCCTTTTCCCCTTGACAACAAATTGTGCAACATCCAAGCCCACTCATCCATCTCAACATCACTAACTCGGAGACAACACACAATATGTGCTCCCCAGTGTGATGTAATATAGAGTATATCACATCCCCATGAGGTGCTCTCGCCAGAATACATGAACTTGAGTCTCATAATTAACCTCTAGATCTAATGCACGTTTATAAGAAACATGGGAATGGAGAAACATATTAAACACCAACACAAGGAGACAATCAGCCAAATCCAGAAGGTGGGAATAGTTAGAGGACAAATAGTACGTTTTCTTCAACCAATAAACAGCCTTAAAAAGGTGGGAGGGATACTTTTATTAATTGAAAGATAATTTAAAGATACATTGATGAAATGCAGTGTACAGGCTTTGGATCTTGATTCTAAGAAACTACATGGAAGGGGGCCGACCCAGTGGCGCAAGCACTCTGCTCCGGCAGCCCGGGGTTCTTGGGGTTCGGATCCCGGGCGCGCACCAAAGCACCGCTTGTCATGCCGTGCTGTGGCGGCGTCCCATGTAAAGTAGAGGAAGATGGGCACAGGTGTTAGCTCAGGGCCAATCTTCCTCGGCAAAAAAAAACGATCAGCATCAGGTGTTAAGCTCAGGGCTGATCTCCCTCACAAAAGGGAAAAAAAAAATTTTTTTTAAATACATGAAAAAAGCAATTACAATAAACAGGGAAAACAGAGCATGAACTAGGTGTGTTAGATGATGTTAAGGAATTAATGTTATGGGTGTAATCATTTTAATGTAGCCATGTTTGATAAAAGTCATTGGTTAGACATACATAATGAGGTATTGGTAGGTTAAAGATGTGATCATTGATTCATAAAGGTACTGAATTCCAAGTTTAAGGATACATTTTTACTTTTTCTTATTTGTAAAAACTTGAAAAATACTGATAACTCGTAAAACATTTTTAAAGATCTCTCGCAGTTTCAGTGATTCCAAGAGGATTTTTTTTTTTGCTATTATAATTTTTTTTTGCTATTATAAAGCACTTTGAATTTTTACTTAAATTAAAATGAAATTTGTTAAATTTTGGTTATTCTGATTATTGATGCCTTTATGTTATGACACTGTCAGTCTCATAAACAAATTCAAAATTGATCCATGCTGATTCATCTTATCCTAGGAAAATAATGCATTTCCAAATATATGAAGGCATAAGTTTCTTGTATCTTCTTCTTTAAAAAATATTTAACTAAATTAAAATTATGTATCCAGCTTTAATTTTGTGTGTTTGCTATTTTATTCAGTGATTCTACAAATCAACAATCCATGGGTAAAGTGAGAAAGTGCACAATCGGCCTGAAACCAGAAACTGCCTACAACTTATTACATACCATTCTGTTTGGATTCTTGGCCTTGAGTACAATGAGGTATTTTTGTCTTACCTGTTCATTTGATTTATTTTTTTGTTTGACCCCTCTTTACCTGATGTAATTTAGCAATATAATTTGGAAACTGACAGTCATCTTCATTAATAATTATGGTTCCCATAAAAATGTCCTCATTTACTGTCTTCTCCCGGTGCAAAATATTATTTATAACCAGTTTTTTCCTAATTACCAACATTCCTCTATTTTTACTTATATGACAGTTCTCAAAAGGCAGTGGACTTAATAACTAACCCATTGGCGGATGGTCCTGCCTCGTTATAGTAAGATTTTACTGTCACAGACAAGACAGTTGCCTTTCCAGCTGTCTCAGACTCCTGCTGTCTACACACCTAGCACTCGTTGATCTTTGCCTGCGTATGTTCTTACAGAATGAAATACCTCTGGACGTCACACATGTGTGTGTTTGCCTCGTTTGGCTTATGCAGCCCTGAAATATGGGAGCTACTTCTGAAGTTGATACGTCTTTATAACCCAAAGAGGGTCAGTGCTGTCCCTTTCTCCATTTCCTTTTTACGATGTAGTATTTCTTTCATACTGATTGTCTTTTCAGTAGTTGCCCATACATCAGTATGATAAAATGGATACTAAAATTTGAAGCTAAAAACAGATAATTGATAAGTTATGGTTTTATAAGGAATTATTTTTTTAATAATTTTAATTTTATTTTTTTAAATAATTTGTTCCCAGACCATAAGTTAGATTGGTTCATTATACAGAATTTAGAAATACTGAAAAGCACGAAAAAGAAAAATTAAAAATCACCAATAATCCCATTATCCAGAGTTATCACTATTATTATTATGTATTCTCCTAAAAATAATTATTAATAAGTGTATGGTAATGATTAATAGCCTATAAAATGCAGTTTTGAGTTCTTTTGCCCTACAAATTCACTAGGTGGCAATATGTTAGAAGCTACAAGTATCTTACAAATGATTGGGACCCTTACATTCACTCAGTTGTTTTCCATGTTGGAGACTCATGCTCTATTAAATTATATTTCTGTTGTTTAAAAAAGAAAAAGTCAGGGCCGGCCCAGTGGCATAGTGATTAAGTTCATGCACTTCGCTTCAGCGGCCGGGGGCTCGCAGGTTTCGTATCCCGGGTGTGGACCTACACACCGTTCATCGAGCCGTGCTCTGGTGGTGTCCCACACATAGAATAGAGAAAGATTGGCACAGATGTTAGCTCAGGGACAATCTTCCTCACCGAAAAAAAAAAAGAAGAAGAAAAAGTCATGTTTACAAAGCAAAAGCGTAAGGCAAAAGTGGTCAATATACTTGTAACCTAAATAATGTCTTTCTTATATAGATCTGTATAATGCGATATTCAGTACCGATATTAATACTGCTGTATCTGTGCTATAAGGTAAGACTGCTTTTCCTCATTCCTGTCATTAATCTGTTTAGCACAATAATTGCTTTGACTTATTGTACTTTGTGTATTATTGGCACATAGAAGAGTTTGCAGAGGTTATAAATATCTCTTTGGCTTCTTACGGCATTTGGCGTTGATAGGAAAACTGATCTGTGCCCCAAATAGAATTTAACAAGTAAAAATATTATAGCAAAAACTACTACAATTTAACCATTCTAACTAATTTTGGTTTTGACTTAGTATTCAGCTGATGCAAATTCTGAAAATAAAGATGTTTTTAGACCTATTTTGAGGTGAATAAAGTAGAAAAATTATTTTCCCTGGTTACCTGCTTTATATAGAGTAAGAAATCTTAAAATGCATATTGCTTTAACCTACATATTTTATTAGATACTTAAAATCATCTTTGTAAGAAGGCTGAGCACATAAATAAATACAGTCTAAGATTAGTCTTATCTGGCCTTCAGTTTCAATAGAAAATAATGAAATTCTGCATATTCTCAGTTGACAACTAACTTCTGAAACAGCGTTAACTGTGCTTCAGTTCCAAGAATCTCCACAAGAGACAGTGAGTCGTTGATCAGGTGGACTACTTTGTGACCCTTTTGTCACATCTTTGAGATTTAGAGGCTTGAATTGTCACCCAGGCAGGTAGCCCAGATTGTTCTGTCCAACTGAGCTCTCACCTTCTCTTTTTAAAAAAAATCTTACGTACTTTTTAAGTTTAGATGTTTTTCTTCAAATTTTGTTTTAAGTTAGAACAATCGATTTCAAACTCGACTGTGTATAGCCCCTACTTTGGGGGGTTGCTGAAGGGGTGAGGGGAGTCACCTGCAGAGAGGATCAGCTATAGCAGCTCAGCTTTTGGTTTCATTTGCTTATATTTTCATGTAAGATTTTATTTGAAGCAAAGGCTTTAGGCTAAAAAAATGCTTGATAATCATTATATTGGATGATTCTATTGTACATACTTCAAAAAAAATCTGTTCTATCATGTTCCTATCTATTGAAACATTTACTATTGCGGGCACAGCACCGTGCTGCCTCCTGGACACTGGGAAACAGAACTAGATTATTTCTACCACCCTGCCTCTGGGAATTTTACTGCTCTGTAAATAAATGAGACTTCTTAAAAACATCTGGAAAGCAACAACTAAAGATTAAATAGAGTGTATATTTAATAATGAACTAGGTAACTTTACACATTGATTCTGAGGGTGGAACACCCTCTTGACAGAAGAGATACATCGTTCTCGTCTCACCACCAAAGATGTATGCACACTACAACAGTCTGTCTTACTGGCTCTGTGTGTGTAGGCTGAGTTCTTTTATATCTCAGCTATTTATTTGAAATTTTATTGATTTTTTTTAAAGCCATTTGAGGACTTAAGTCTCTTGTTCTTGATAAAATTGAGGAACGACATTTTAGAAGAAATAAATTATGCTATAGAGCATTGACTCTCAAAGTGTGGTCCCCAGTCAAGCAACATCAGCATCACCTGGGAACTTGTTAGAAACACAGATGTTTCGGTTGCATTCCAGACCTACTGAATCAGAAACTCGGGGAGTGGGGTCCAGAAATTTGTGTTTTAAGCAGCCATCCAGGTGGTGCTGATGCACCATCAAGTTTAAGAAACCCCTGTGGAGAACAGGGTTTCTCAGCACTGGCACTGCTGACATTGTGACCAGATCATCCTTTGTCATCCGGGGCTGTCCTGTGCATTGTAGGATGTTTAGCAGCATCTCTGTCTTCTACCCACTAGATGCCAGTAGCACCTCCCTCCAGTTGTGACAATCAAAAATGTCTCTAGATATTGCAAAACATCCCCCTGGGGGTGAAACAAAATCCTTCCCTCCCCCGCCCCCCACCGAGAACCACTGCTATAGGAGAACCAGTGACAGCACTGAAAAAGCAATCATTTTCAGGAAATCTCTGTAGAAATTCCCTGAGTGAGAGAGTTAGTAATTCTAATGAATCCTTCCAAAGATCCATGGCCTAGCCTCTCTCATTGTTGGACTTTAGCAGAAATCCTAATGCATCTAGCTTTCAGTGTATAAAATAGGTTAGATGTTTCAGCTTCTCAAAACTTGTGAAATATAAAATCACAAAGAAAATTAAGATGTTATGTGTATTAGGGGTTACCCTGAAATTGAATCTATTTTCCAACTATTGAACAGATTTATCTGTAAATAATATAAACTTGTATATTTCAAAGCCTGATTTAAGTTTTATTTAGCGATTGTAATGAGGATTTCAAAATTTCTTGTTCATAATACCAATTTTGCTGTATGTCTCTTTAGTATGATCCTGTTTAAAAGAGAAAAGCATATACTAGTCTCCACTCTAAAATCAAGAGTTAGTAAAATTATTACCCTCGTGTCGATTAACTTGGTTGCTGAAATCTCATGAACTGCTGGTCATTTAGAAGCAGGATATAGTTAATTCAACACTTATTTTCACATTGTTTAAGGAATTTACCACAAGACTATGTTACTAGATTTTCAGAATTAACAGCAGCAGCTTTCAAACTGGAAAAATATCTAATATCCATTGAATTCACGGATTTCAAAATATGTTTCATACCAAAAAACTTAGAACATATCATTAACACATTGGTAGTCGAGTGATTTCCAAAACTAATAGGGACAATGGATAATTGGAGTATTACAAAGGTGTCATGTAATCAGTAGCTTTTATTACATCTCTTCTAAAACCTAGAACCAGCAGTACTGACACCTGATTTTCCATCACCAGCAATTTTCCTAATTCCCCCACCCAGGAGACAAGATGTGAATGAGCAGTAAGAATGGCCAAAGACAAGATGACAAGATAAGAAAGTGATGAGGCTGAAATACAGCCGTAGACCGGTCAGGTGCCACTTTGGTTCTAGTTAGTGGTTCTTAAATAAAATTATTGTATTTTCAACATCAGTAGAGCATAGATACAATGTCATTGGTCTTCTATTCCAGTATTGAGGTGAATTCTGCAGTTCACATTAGGATATATAGAGATGATCAAGTCATTTAGCCAATTGTCATTTGATAAAACAATTAACATTTAATTAATTGTTGAATTAAACGGACAAGTTATATTAGAAAAGCGGTGGACTTGGGAGTGTAATTTTTACGTTATATCTGCAAAACCTTAAATAATTCAAGTTGAGTAGGAGGCACAGGTGGCATAAATATAATATTTAAATGTAGCAGATTTTCCCAGAGAGTCCTACTTTCAAATATTCTTTTCTTCCATTGCACCTGTAATTATATTAATATACATCAAAACATTTGTCCAGATTTCTAGTACGAAAAATACAATCACCATGTTATGCAGTGAAAGGGGCCTGAATCTGGAGTCAGGTTCAAGTCGTGGCTCTGTCCCTTTGTGACCTGGTCAAATCAGGTTCTCTCTGAGCCGAGGTCTCCACACTGGTAAAATGGAAAATAAATACGGTAGTGATGGTGCCTTCTGCATCTTCTTTCTCGCTGGTAATTGTGAGGATGAAATGAGATTCTGTATTCCAAAGCATTTTTGCAGCTGTAAAGTGGTGCTGTCTTCCATAAGGCACATTCTACACTGAAGGGGGCATTGCCGGATGTTAGTTAGTTACATTTTTCTAACATACTGTGAATTTTCTCATGGTTGCTGTTCCTGTCATATCCAAATTATTGTTTTACTAGATATTGACGCCACATACAACAGCATTTTTATTAGAGTAAAATAAAAGCTCATTTTTAAAAGTTGACAACACCTCTAGTCCTGATTAGCTTCGGCTCAAAATAATTTTGGAAACTTTTCTCAGACTTCAGCTCACTTCTGCCAAGAGAGTTGACTGCAGAGGTGAAGCAGTTCTGATCTTCAGATGCCATGTTTATTGGTTCACAAGTTATACACAGTTTCTCCTTTTTCACTTTAATCTTAGTGATAGGTGTGGGTGTGGGGGTGGATTTTGTTTTTGTTTTGTTTTGTTTTTAATTTCAGTTCTGGCCAGGAATGATGGATGAACTCTCCGAGTTGAGAGAATTCTATGATCCAGATACAGTGGAGCTGATGAACTGGATTAAGTAAGAGGATTTTTTTTAACCTTTGAACTTTAAAGTACCTTTTAAGAGTCACTGTAGACCTCATTTGGTTTTTTGTTTTGTTTTGTTTTTTTCTGAATTAATTGTAAAGATACATTCATTGTCAAGGTTTTCTTTAAAACTTTATATTGGAAGTAATTTCTTTCCACTCAAGAAATAGTCTCTCCAACCACAATCCCATGAAGAAGGGAAAATACCCACATGGAGAGGGAAACAGACTCGGAGGGTGCATTTCAAACCAGTGACAGCAATGGAAATAAAGTTTTATACTCTCTGCCAATTTTATCTTGATGATTTCTTTTATTTTAATACCATTCAAATATTCTATTAATGCTGACACGTAAAAGTATTCTTTCCTTGTTAATCATTTGAAAATTATACAGTAAACTACAGTTAATTGGAGTCCTACTAGCTCAGTGCAGATTTCATTTTAACTAATCATATTGCCCACGCCTAGGCCTAGAGGAAATTTAAAATACAAAAACAAAGCTTTCCTCTCTTTGACGAGGTAATGCATTAGCATTGCACTGGTTCCTGTTTTTGCCTGCACTGTGTTGCTTTCCCTCAGCATTCAGCATCAGAAGGAAGTTTGTGTGTTTTGAAGCTTTGTTAATGAACCTGCCTCCCACCAGCAAAAATAAACTTGTCTACCCAAGCAGCATTCCTGTACCCTCTAATATGTATTTCCTTACTTTACAGCCAAAAAACAGCAGTGTAATTATTCACGTGTAAATAGATGTGGCAAATCTTGTGTGACATATTCTGAAAGCATCGACTGTATTGTCTCCATCACTTAGAATTTTAGTAGCCTTATTGGCACCTGCTCGTGACTAATGTTTACTAACCAGTACAGGTTAGCACTGCCTGTGTGTTAAGAGATGGTAAATGTTTGATAGCTTAGGTCTCTTGAGTGCAATACATGGATTTTATAGAGATTTATGTCTAAAATATATATGTGGCTTTGGTCCCAGTGTCGGACTGGGTTTGACTAGATGCAATGAGTATAATTTTTCATATATTTTCAGTGCTGAGAATACTAAGCAGTGCTTTGTCTTTATTTATTTATTTAACTTTAAATCATGGCACACAATTACAGAGTAAATAATTCCTTCAGTATTTATTGTGTGTAGGAAAAGAGGGCTATTCATATAAAGAAAAGCTAATTACTTTTGCATTAACTATAGTCACCTGGAAATTTATGGCATGTGCATCTGAAGGTGAGGCTGAGATTTTCTGTTTTTAAAATGGCACCGTTGATATGAGTGGTGCAGAGCACCCGCTGTCTGGTAGAATCCTGAAGGATCCTCCGGATCTGCCGGGATCAGCATTGTGACATCCCGGCTCCACTCCCAAGTCTTTAAGGGATTAATTTTAGCATCAGTAGAGATTTATTCCAGCAGAGCCCCAAGTAGACTTTGGCTGGGTTAGACTGGATGTACTTGTGGTCGGGCCTTTACTTGCATGCTTTTCTCACAGAACATTACTGAACGTTCTGGTTCTGAGAACCTGTGGATGAGAGGTTCTTCCAGGGGTGAGGAAGGCAGGCAGTCGGTCTCGTTTCTCTCTTTGGGGTCGTGGTCTTTGTTCCTCACGTTCTCCTTTTCCTGGCAGTTTCTCTCCCTGGGTATAGACACACTCTTTTTACTTTTTTTTTAAATTCTCAGCAACTGAAGGATTTGTATTGTTCCAGAAAAATTGGTTCCATTATGATCTAATTTTGCCTGTTTTCCCTTTAAATTCTTCACATCTAAATTATTGTTTTTGCAAAAATAGCTGCTAGGCATGTTGTGAAGTAAGCCTAAGTGATGATGAATGTATGCCAAAATAGGGTCTATTTAGACACAAAATGTATTTGTGTAAATCATCATTTAAGTCTGCTCTGGTCCATAGGCTTCAATTCCAAACACAAGTGAATGTACTTGATATTCTTTTAACCTGCCCTGATTTCTTCTGTTTTTGAAACATAGGAGCTACAGCTTGCACTTCCCTACTTTGGTTAGTCACACAGTGTTTGTGATATTAGTAGGTCTGAGCTGTGCTGTGGAAGGGCTGTGGCCTGAGGATACGTGGAGTGTATCTGAAAGTCTGTTGGACACTGTCTGATGGCAGCTGCCGGGCCTCTGGTGGGGACCTGGTCAGTGAGGGACGCCTCCTTCTCTCCATCCTTCTGCTTCTGTTCTCAGAGAGCCAGGCTGCAAACACTCACGTCTCTCCTTTGTCCAGGCAGTCATGACAGCATCTTTTAGCATGGGACGCAGCTTGCATTACAGGATGGCTGCCCTTGGGGTGAGTCAGGGTGAGAAACAGTGACCTACAGAAACCCCAGGGGACACCTGAAGTGACCCTCCATTTTGGCACAGGGCAGTTCTTAGGTGGAGAGTTGGGAAGAAGCTTACCTGCCGTCTCCTGGTCCCTGCTCCGTGCACTTGATGCTGGGACAGACCACACACTTGCCTTAGCATCACTCTTGTGCTCCGAGGACACTGAGCTCCATTTGGAGATTCTGTCTTTCCAGGGATTCACTGAGGGCTCCTCTGCTTGGAGGGTAGAGTGAAAGATTCCATCACTCCAGCGGGAGTTGGTGCTGTTCTTTTCTTTTGGAGGGACTCAATTATGACCTTTGATAGGCAAAACAGACAGCCTCAAGGGAAAATAAAGGACATTACTTGAGGATAACGCCTCTTAATGTGATCAGGATCATGCCGAGGGATTAGGTTTCTGTGAAAACATTGAAAGCCTTAATATATAAGGCTGTTTCATGTCTGAGGTTGTATACTTATTAATACGATGTAACAGGTATTTATTGAGCACCACCTGTGTATATATAGGACACTGTGTTAAACGTGCACACGTTGGGTGGCAATTTTAACTGCTTCACTAGAGTAAACATTGCACCTCATCTCAGCACTATTGTCTTCATTCCTTTCCTCCATATTCTTATTGTTGACTCCATTTTAAGATTTTTAGAGGCTTAACAGCTTCTGATGGAAAATTTTTGTTAGAGTTCTAATTTTTAGTAAGAGAAAATGTTGTTTAATGCTTTCCTATCTTTAGTTCCTTAGAGGAGTGGAGATTTAAATTTAAGTATAAAACCAAGATTACTTCAGGATTAAATTTCTCATGAATCTGCCAGGCATTTTGTTGAGATTAGGCCCCAGCATCTTAGAGGTCACGTCGTGCCCTCCACAGCCCGGCCTGTGCGTTCATCTGTTGCCTGCAGAGTCATACTGAGGAGCTGCACGCCTGTTTCCCAGCAGATTTAAATGGATATGTTCATAGTTACCCCTTTTTGCTGATAATGTTTCCTGGATACAAAGATTAAAAGCCAGTTGTTTGTTTTTCTGGTATCTCTTTCAACAAAACCCAGGCAGTACTTTTGTAGGTTTTGTGGGTGATTAGAAAGCACGTTTACTTCAGCAAGGCCAAATGTGCCAGCAGTTGGTGCTTCGTACCTCGTTCCTTTGTGTCCTTAGAGTGTTTCATTTTTGGTTCCTGAGATTTTTCTGTGACATTCTGCAATTAAGATAGACAGACCTGTAGATGTGAATATTTTGAGGTGTGACATTTTGACTACTTGGCTTTAGGAGATTTTCACTAGAAATAATCTCTTTCCGGTGATGAAGCCTGCATGTGCAATATTTTCTCAGTGGAACTAAGAAAATAAACCAGACTTTCTACACATTTAGTCAAAGCAGAAAGAATTACTGTGTATTTTACATATGATGTAGGTTAAGTTCAGACCTTAAATGCCTATAAGCCTCTTTTATATTTAATGAGTGATTTTGTAGTATTTGCGTAATTCTATAAATTTTTTAAGTGTAGATAAAGCAGATGTTCACATATTATATATAATGCTCAGTTTACCCATTAGTTCAGCAGTAATTAACTTGAAGCTTAGAGCATCAAAAATAAATGAGATTATTTGTTCAAAATGCCATCAGGTCTTCCTGGGATGACATTTAAACTATATAATGTAAATCCGTTTGACCTGTGAGTCCTTGTCCTTATTTAGTGACATTTCTTACAGAATAAATTGTTTGCAGGTTGGGCAGCCTGCTATGGAGCTTGGCAGAGAGCTATAAAAACAAATTATCCTTTCATTTTATACATCATTTGTTCAAACATTGGTAAAAATTGCTTTGTTTTTCTGTCATAGAGAAGTGTCATTCAGTGGTTAGAAGCACATTAGCCGTCACAGACACAGGCCACAGACTGTGAGGGAGGAGCACCCAGCATGGCATCTGTCCTGCTGATGTAGGTTAGGGACAGGGAGGCCCTTTTCCCTTTGCCTGCTCAGTTTGCACAGAAAATATAGAATACACTGAATCTGGGTTTCTAAAGTTTCAAAAATGTGTGCTTGTTTTTCATTTTGCTCGTCTGTTTTACTTCTGCATTTGCCTTACAGGTAAACTTAAATCTATATAGCGGTGAACTATCCCAGATTTACCGTGGGGCTAGTGTAGAAAACCACATCACAGAGAATAGAGTGAATAAACAGCATCTCTGCCATGCTTGGAAGTCAATAGTTTTACTCATTTATAGGTGTTAGAGTACTTGCATTTTGCTGCTTTAAAACCAAGGACCTTAGTGAAAGACTGCTAACAATCCAGAGGGTTGTTGCACTAGGCGTTGAAGCAGATCACATTTCTTTTAAACTTTCTTACTCTTTACTAATGAAGCCAAATGTTAAAACATGTCACAATTGAATGAGCTTTATTCCATTTTTTCCTCAACTCCTCCAAGCAGTCATGTGACAGGTCACCTTGCTCTGCCTGGTGATGGCAGCTGCTACCCTGGGGGGCAAGGGACACTCAGGTGCCCTTCTTGCATACTGAGGAGAGAGGCAGTGTTTGCCACGGTCGTACAGTGTCTGATGTGTGTTGTTTCCAGCACAGCTAAAGGCCCACAGAAGGCATTAGTAAATATGTGGCAGACTAATGACTGGTTTATTCTGAAGTGTTCGCCTGAAATAGGAGCTGAGTCTGGCTCTGTGAGCTAGTAAGCTTCCTGAAGACGGGTATTCATACCACGTTTGCCAGTCAGCACGTAGTAGGTCCTCAGTAATATTTTTTGACCAAACAAAGAATAACTGTATAACTCCCCAGCAAGCAGTTCAGGACTTTTGACATTTTAAACCTTTGTGAACTATGTAATTCATTAAAGTACTATGATTATAGTCCAGCAGTGAGGCTGAAAGCTTGGTCATTAGCCATGAATAGAGAACAGGTCAGTCGTCCATCTCACACCCTGTAAACAGCTGTGCGTCTCCTTGACGCCACTTCCTGTTACATGTTCACAACGGTGATGCCAGGGCAGTCTTACGATCTGGATGGCTGTTATCTGGGTCTGCCTGGGGTACAAGAGCAGTCTGGCACTCTCTAGGCAGTAAGACTACACGGACCAGGATAGTTCACCTCCACCTCATGCACTGCCAGACACAGAGGCCAAACTCATTTTGTTCTGCATTCCAAGTCTGCTCAGTTCAGAGGACACACCCAGCCACTTCTTGGTATTAATGTGTGATGTTATTGTATCACTTATTGCAGTGGAATGGTTTATGCCAGTTAAGAGCATACTAAAGGAAGACTGGCTTGGAAAAATGATGGCATTTTCTTTAATATCCGTCCCTGGTCATTCTCTTTAGCAGTTACAGTGCACTGCGAGTGAGGGCAGCGCAGTATATATATATGACACAGACTAAGTGTTTAGTGAGTATTGATTGAGTTAAACTGGATTTTTGTGAAACCTTTCACTAAGGAACTCTGTGCACCTTCTCATGTCTTCATTTAAACCCTCCTCTTCCCCTGACCACCTGGCACAGATGTCAAAAATTCCCTGTGAATTGCTGGTTTGGGGGGACAGAGCAAACATCGATTTGTCCTTGTGTTCCTGGGTCTGGTTGTCAGAATGATGACAACCTGCCGAGCACAGCCGAGCTCATGTAAACCTTTCTCTGTTGTCATCCTCATCTGGGTTCTGACCTGAATGAGGGAGGATGCAGATTATGTGTCATTCCCTTGTGCTCACTGTAATTCCATCCACTTGTTTTCGTCACTTAGAAAAGCTCATTGGAATTCAAGTGAATGAGAGTGTCGTTGTTAGAAAATCTTGAATTTTTCAGAAGTAAATTATTCGTAAATGTTACAACTTGTACTGTAGGTTGTCTTGCTTGTGGACGTCCTCAGGCCTTTGTTGGATGGATTCATGCTGTAGTCTTAGCATTAAATTGGAATAAATAAACATCCTCATGGGGTATATGAATATGATGGTGCTTCCCTTAGACATTTTAGCACCAGAGCAAGTTTCATGCCCTGATCTCCAAAAACATTGAGGAGAATGCCTGCTCTAGCTTTTTCTGCAGAGTATGTTGAGTTTTAATGATTTCAATTAGACTTCTTCTCAAAACTATCTCCATCAGCCTAGCAGGCATAGACTCCTCTTTCTTAACACAAGAAGTTTAAATCAAGGAAATTCTGCACTGGGGAGAATCCGAAGAGGACCCATTAGGTTCTACACAATAAAATGACACCTTATTGATTTGCAAGTGACTCCCAGGTTTCCAAAAAATGGAAGAGAATTAAATTAAACTAGAATTCTTTTTTTCCGGGGTAGGGGGAGGAAAAATGCTTTCCCCATAGTCAGGGGAGTCTTTCCTGGTCCTCCATCATTGTCCCTCACACCCCGTGGGGAGGCAGAGAACCGCAGCATGGTGGTGACGGGAAAGTGAGGTCGTAATTTATGGATAGAGTGCCCTGTATCCCTTGAGATGCAGACAGCCTTTCATAGTGTGGACTAAAGGAAAGGAAGATATACATGCTTGTGTTTCCACGTCAGGAATTTTGTACATCCCCATATTGAGTAATAAGATACTTGCTATTTCAGAATCTTCTTTTCCTGTTCTTTTCTTTTACTAATTCTTTTTTTTTCTAAAAAGTAATTTATAGTAATATCTGTGATCTTTTTTCTTGTTTGAAACAAAAACCTTTGGAATTGACTCACGATCAGGAGTTGACTCACCATCAGCTGCAGTTTCGGGCTTTATCATTTGGTGCTTAACTCGAGGCAGCCCTTTAGTTCAGTGTAATACAGAAGGCAGTGGCAGTCTTATGAGTTCTTGTCTGTTAGAATCTGCCCCACTTGAGCAAGAGCAGGAGGATTCTGGATTCTAGCCTAGAAGACTTAGGCTCAGGAGATGCCCACATCCTAGACAAGTTGTTCTAAGAGTAAACCCATCAAAACAGTAAGTTAGAAGCTTCCCAGCCATTGTCAAAAACAGATAGGAAAAGTTTCGTGAAATAGTTTGCGTGCCAGTCGGAATCTCAGGCAGCCTCCTGTGCTTTTCCCGACCCTTAGCCCTTCCTCACATTGCTGGGTCCTGCTGAGAGTGTGATATTGTCTTCGTTGTTGTCTGTGAGGACATCTTGGCAGTGTGGTTAATTCAGACTCAAAAATCTTTTAGCTCTAACACTCCAAGAAAGGCTGTGTTCGCTGGAAGCATGCAGTTGCTGGCCGGAGTTAAGCTGTGCACGGGAAGGACCTTGACCAACCACCCGCACTATGAAGACAACAGCCTGAGAGAGCGAACCAAAGCGGTGAGGGCCCGTCTGCCTTTCCTCCCACCTTGTGGACCAGCCGTGGGCCTCCTTGTGTTTGGTAAAGCTGGGGCTTAGTGCTGCTTGTAGCTTATGAGGAGGAGTCAGAACCTCAGCACATTGTGTCTCCTGATTCTAGACCTCGACCTGCCCCACATCCGTTAAAGGTGTGCTGTTCAGGCCATACATTCCTCTCAGTTAAAAGAATAGCTGAGAAGAAAAACACCTTGAGATGTACGGAAAAGAGCATTTGAGAACGAAGCCTCAGAGCTTTTGAACTGGAGAGGGAAGGAAAAGGAGTAGAGGCATAATGGATACATTTTTTATGCATGATTTCGCGCGTGTGTGTGTGTGTGTGTGTTAATAGTTAATACAGCCACATAGTTCAAAGGGAATATAGTAAAAAAGTCTCCATCCCACCTCTGTCTCCAGCCACTGGTTACCCTCCCAGGAGATAGATGATGTTACCAGTTTCTTGTGTATTCTTCCACGGGTGTGTTATGCGTATACAAATGTATATATACACACATATTCATATTCTTTTCCCTCATTTTTACAAAGGAAGTAGCATACTACATCTTGCTTTTTTTGGCACTTAATATATTTCAGAGATCATTCCATAACAGTATATTAATAGCTTCCTTGTTATTTTTAAAGCTGCATGATATTTTGTTATGTGGATATAGCCTACTTTATTTAACCATTTAGGTTGTTTCCCTGTCTTTTGCAATTATATAAACAATGCTCAAAATAATAAACTTGTATATGCATCATTCGCACAGGTACAAGTGTGTGTCTATCTGTGCCTCAGGTTCTTAGAGGTGCAACTGCTGGCTCAAAAGGGGTAGATATTCCTGAGTCACCTCTCTACTGCTTCTACCAATTCACATCCCGGCCAACAGTGCAGAAGAGAGTACTTGTTCCCCTTAGTCCCCACCAGCAGTGGTTTCAAACTTTTTAATGTTGTATATCAGTCATTTCTTAATCTTGGTTGCTGAAAATTTGTTGAAAAGTCTTGTTTGGGGGTGAGATTTAACTAGCCTAAAAGCAAATGATTTTTACTGAATCCTTTTTTTTTTTATGAGAATTGTCTAAACTAGATTCCTGCTAAAATGGCAATTTTTCAATTGGCCCAAGTGTTCCGGATAGCCCCAAGTTAGCGGAAGGAAGGAGGGAGGGTACCTGGCTCACCAGATGCAAAGTTCAGCCGGGAGGTGGCCTACACTGCTTAGACTCGAGGAAGATGCGGAAAAGACTTGTCAGCTGCACAGGGAGTGCTTCTGTGCTCCACCCTCTCCAAGATCCTGTCCCTGTCTAGGTACTGAGTTTATGCCCTGAAAGCTGGTGTCCTGAAGGTCCTGGTGCCCTTCTGCAGTCCGGACCTTTGGGTCCTTGGAATACCTTCAGTCTGAGGCCCGGCACTGGACTGTAGGTAGAATGATCTCACGGTTTTAGCAGTGGAAAGCTCCCTGCCATTTCACCCATCTGTACAGACACATTGAATTAGGCTCTCAGAACCCAATCTCTTAAGTCAGAAACATCATTAGAAGTCAGGGGGCAACAAAGGAAGCAGCACTTCTCTTCATTACCCCCAAACACACAACACACAATCTTTTGCCAATACCAAGTCCCAGAATATAGGGCGCTCACCATCTGTGCGTTCACTTAACGTGTATGACGCTGGTGATGGATGGGAAGGTGCTGCCTCCTGTTGAAGTGCCACTGGGGGCTGCAGCTTGCTCTTCCTCCGGGAGGGCTGAGAGAGCGACAAGTGTAGGGGCTCCTTCTGGTCAAGCAGGGTGCAGCACAGCAGCGGTACAGCAACGAGTGCTGCCCCAGCCTGGGACCAGGGACCCTGTGCGGGTCCTTTTCCCCGACTGCCGTTATCAGAAGCTGGGTCTCCTGACATTGTATGTCCCCAAACTGTACCACCACCCCAGTTGACCCTTCTAGTCTAAAGGTCCCCTTTTTTTTAATTCATGTTTTTTATTGATGTCATAATAGTTTATAACATTGGGAGATTCCAGTTGTACATTATTATTTGTCAGTCACCATATAAATGGGTCCCTTCACCCCTTGTGCCCACCCCCCAACTCCCTTCCCCCTGGTAACCACCAAACTGTTCTCTCTGTCCATGTGTTAGTTTATCTTCCACATTATGAGTGAAGTCATACGGTGTTTGTCTTTCTCTGTCTGGCTTATTTCACTTAACATAATACCCTCCAGGTCCATCCATGTTGTTGCAAATGGGACAATTTTGTCTTTTTTTATTGCTGAGTACTATTCCATGGTATATATATACCACGTCCTCTTTATCCAATCATCAGTCGAGGGACACTTGGGTTGCTTCCACGTCTTGGCTGTAGTGAATGATGCTGCAGTGAACGTGGGGGTGCATAAGCCTCTTTGGATTGTTGATTTCAAGTTCTTTGGATAAATACCCAGTAGTGGGATAGCTGGATCATAAGGTATTTCTATTTTTAATTTTTTGAGGAATCTCCATACTGTTTCCTGTAGAGGCTGCACCAGTGTGCTTTCCCACCAGCAGTGGATTAGAGTTCTAAAGGTCTCTTTTCTAAAGGTCGGGACTGTGTCTTATGTACTCAACTGTGTGATTTGCCTTGGGGAAGCGTTCTTAGAATTGGCCTCTGCTGATGAATATATTCATAGCTCGAAATAATAATTCTAAATCCATATCTATTTGGTGTCTGAGTCCAAGTGTATTCAGCAGGACTGACTGTTCCTCTTCCCAAGGCTAAGCGATACAGTATTCTTTTGGGAACTTCCCCCCACGCTCCAAGACTGCAGGTGAGGGAGGGCAGCAGTGGCCTGTGTGGAGGAGCTGGGGAGCTGGGGTCTAGGTCCCAGATTCAACCCCGTGGGAGGTTCCATCGTTACATGTTCCTCCACTGACTTCCTGGCAGTTGACTGGTCTTTTGCCCTATTCCATTTTCCTCTCATTTGAAGGTTTATCAGATATATGCCAAGAGGTCTCCAGAGGAGGTGCATGCCCTCCTGAGGTCCTTCGGCACTGACTACGTGATTCTGGAAGACAGCATCTGCTATGAGCAGAGGCACCGCCGGGGCTGCCGGCTGCGCGACCTGCTGGATGTCGCCAATGGCCACGTAAGCACATCATCTCGCCACATGTGGGAGCCTCCTGGAGAGCATAGGATTCCAATTTGAATCCTAAGTAATGTAATGTTTTTGTACGTTATAGAATTATATTATGAACGGAGGGTTCATTGTTCTCTCGCATTCTTCAGAACTCCCTACCTGGGCACTTGAGTGACTGCCACGGGCTGGGCGAGGGGAAGTCGAGAGGGGAACTCTAGGTCCCCATCTGCACATCAGACAGAGCACCTCTGTCTTTAGCTGGTTTGAATCATGAGGCTCTGCATAAAATTTATTTTTCAAGGATTTGACTGCTAAAATCAAAAGCAAAACCTCAGCCTTTTAAAACCACTGCTCCATAGCATCATTTTGGCTCGTACATGAACAACTGTGACAGCAGTGCCCATCTCCCCTCCCAGCCCTGGTGGTGGATTCCTGGTGGTGGATTCCTGCTGCTCTGCCTGCCCACTCGTGTTGGGTGTCCCCTTTCGTCCCCTGGCACACTTCCACAGAGGTGGCTGTCTGTGATCAAGGGTGCACTCCAGAGCAGAACAAGCTGTTTCTCCTTCCTCCCTTCCGAGAAAGATCTTGGAGCTTGTGTCAGGATAGTTATAAAATGAGTGGGAAAAAATGGTAAACCTAGCCTAAATCTGAAAAAAACTTGACTATACAAAATTTGAGATTCAGAACACTTATGATCTACTCTGTTAGCAAATTTCAAGTATACAACACAGTGTTATTAACTGTAGTCACCACGTTATACTTTAGATCCCCAGAAGCAATGCACCTTGTGACTGCAGGTTTGTCCCTTTGACCAGCACAGATGTGTGAATTAACTTGATTGTGGTGACATTTCGCCATGTCCCCGTATATCAAATCGTCAGTGGTACACCTGTAATGTATACGATTTTATTTGTCAATTATGCTCAAGAAAGCTGCAGGAAAAAAGAGTATGAGATTCAGATTTTTGTCCAAGGCAAATAACTGTTCATAACTATCTTGAAATCAGGGGAGATGAAAACCAAAGACATGCATTTAAATTTTGTTGTGTGTAACTTTTTCTAACTAGGCCATCCAATGAGTCGGAGAATTTTCTCTGGTCACAGTAATCCTTCTCTGTATTTTATTTCTGTGAGAGGAGAAGTGTAGTACGTTGCTAAAAACAAGGAGATCCACATTCTAGTTCTGGCTTTGCCACTGAAGGTGCTCATTGTGTGGGACTGAACTCTCCTTCTCAGCTCTGGTGTACACTTCTGAAGGGGAAGGGGTGGACGCGAGGATCTCCAAGTAGCCGTTGACACTGAAATAATATCATTTAGGTTCACTAACATATCATTCTTTCAAAGCCCAATACATTTTCCCACTTTTGTTATCTCTCATAACTATGATTTTTTTTTTCCAAATTGTTTTTGGCTTTGTTTTGGCTTTAGATGATGGATGGCCCAGGAGAGAATGATCCTGATTTGAAACTTGCAGGCCACCCTCGCTTCTGTGAAGAGATAAAAAGAAACCTGCCTCCCTACGCAGCATACTTCACTCGAGTGTTTCAGAACAAAACATTCCACGTTTACAAGCTGTCCAGAAACAAGTGACAGAGCTTTCTGCTCAAGCTCTACTTTTGATAGGTGAAACCCCATCAGAGAGAAACTGAGTAGATAGCATTTCACATGTAGTTAGGCAGCTGCTCCTTACAGCTCTGATATGAGCAAGTCTACAGATGTTTGCACAGCGTCACCATCTTTGAAAGCATCTTATATAAGCTTAAGTCTTTTTCGTCTTGTCTCATTAATGTTCTTTAGCCTAAATGTTCTCAGCTTTCTAAGAGTGGTCTAGAATTTTGTTGTGGGGGAACAGTAAGTGTTCCATAGGTAGCCTGAACAGCCGCATATCATGTTGGAAATCCAGGGCCTATTCAGGATTTGACATACTTGTAATTTTCAGTTGACTTAAGACAGCTATGGTTGAATTGAATTGAGGGGATGCATAATTAAGTTATTTAATATCATTTCACTAATGAAGACCAATTGGTAGCTTTTTTAAAAAGCTTTTTATTGTCCTGTTTCACCTAAAAATTTTATAATGTTTTCCAAGTGTCGTGCTTTTAATATTTCAAAAAAATCATGTCAAGTCTTTGTATGTATCTAAAACTTTTTGTTGTGCTCTGTCTGCAATGTAATGCATAGCACCTCAGTAGTGTGTGTCATGTGCCGTTTGTGTGTGTGTGTGTGTGTGTGTGTACATGCGCATGTGCGTGCATGTTTTATTGCTGGACACAGAAAAGTCTTAGAAGTTCCATACTGTAAGTCCTTAAAGGAACAGAAATGTTACATAGCCAAGTAGAATTTGTTACTGTTTAGTATTGTTTTAAAACCTATTGATACTATTTAACCTATCCTGCAAGTAAGAAAATTTTTCTTTATTTCTTACTCATTTAAATTTACTGGGTTTGCAAAATTTTGTAAACTTTCTGTTTTTAGCCTTTGTATTTTCTACAGCCTAGAACCTTGCAAAGTCTGAATATTTTTTAAATGTTGTATCTTAACTGATTCACTAATACAATATTTTTGGCAGAGAGCATTTTCATACCAAGTTTGATTTGTGGTCTCCAATCTTCCTGTGAGGGCCCTGGTGGCGTTTTCCTTTTCCATACTAAACAGTAACCAAGTGCCTCTGAGTCATGCTGATTCGTAAACAACGAAGAGGGTTATGTGTACCTGCTCAAGAATTTTTGGTAATTGCTGTTATAATTAATTTCTAATGATGGGAACTTGTAAAAGTTGCTGATAAGAGCATATCGTGCATTTAATTAAATCAAGATGGCTAATGAAATTACCTTCCTCCCCTCTTCTTGCCAGTTGGAAATGATGTAATGTTCCTCCTTGCAGCTGTGTTGAAGTAGATTACCATAGGCATCAAGATGGCTATATCACATGTTCCAGTGATCTTATACTCAGTTACTGCTTACTAAGCAGTATTCAGAGAGAAACTTTACCCTGTCATGTTGGACTCAAGGATAGTTGGCTTTTATCAAAACTTATTTAAATAAAAAAATTGACAGTAGCTGGGTTATTACATTATGCAACTGAAACTCCTGAATTATATCTTTCCTGTATCCCTTAATAAGGTTGAAGACCACTGCAGTTTAGAGTAATACAATAATAAAACATTTTAATCAGTACTAGAACTTCGATGAAGCCAGTAATGACGCATGCCCATAGTCGCTGACAGCATGGGGCAGCGCCTCCTGCGGCCAGTGCCTTACTCCAGTGGACACCAAGCACATGTAAGGTACAACACGTTGGACTGTGTCGTTTCGTTTTTAATATCCTCTGTTACCTCCTCAGATATATTTGTTTATTTTAAATATTCCTATATGCATTAATCTAAGCATTTGGGTATTTGGAGTCTCAGTATACAAGAAAGATGTACTTAAATTTTGATGCTTGTCATCACCGCATTGATGGCATACAGTAATCTTCATGTTTAGGTGCCATTGTTGCCAAAACATTGAATGTTCAGTCTTTAGTGAAAAATACAAAGTGCCAAAAAAATCTCGCAAGACAGAATCCGTGCATATACTCTTTCCAAGACACTGTGACCATGTATAGTAGACATTTTTGTTTCCTAATGACCAAATCTCTCAACGAATCATGTTAAATATTTTTAGCACTTGTCAGTATTCTCTCTTATGACCTTCTCATTGGAGTACACGGGGGGGAAGAGGGACAGCGACTGACTCCTGGCTCTCTACCAAGCCAAAGCAAGGGACTGTGGCCTCAGCTCCCGCCGCACAGATCACAGCTCTCGGGGGCTGTGTTAATATTCAGTAATAGCCTCAAATTGTGGCTGTTTTTTATGGCTAGAATAACCACTTGATTTTGCTTCCAAGTTAGCATTCAGAAGAACCTCTAAGTACAATAAGTGCTCTTAATTAACCTCTGCATCTGTGACTCGCCAGATCCCTTGACAGTCTCCATCCCTCTTGTAAGCTGACTGCCCTCCCTTGAGTACTGTGCCCACACTGAACTTCTCTGTGCGAGTTCTGCTTCCTGCTGTGGGTACACAATTCAACACACATCTAGGAAATACAGGTGTAAAAAGAAAGGATTATTTCTGCAAAAATTAACTGGGATGCTTTGGTAAGATTTGATAAAGGTTGACTTGGTAATAAAAATTGCTGTTAATTAGGTGTGGTTGGGAAAATTATACTGGGAAAACATAAAATTCAGGAAAATTTCTGAGCTCATATTGCTTCATAGATTTATTTACATATTCATTCCACCTTTAAAAAATCTAGACTGATCAGAAGGTATTAAAATGTACCCAAATCATGTTGTTAATATGATTTATGCCAGAATAGAACTTCAATCACTGGACCCTTATGCAAAGGAAAGGCCTTGGCTTTACATCAAAAGATGAGCCAATGAATGTACAATTATATGTTTAAAGTTAAGATTCCGTACTGTAACCTGCTTCCTCCATTAAATGGCCAACTACTGATACTGATCACAGTGGCTAATAGAGATTCTGCTGTAGTCGAAAGGTTCCAGTCACTTTTTTTACACACTTAAAAAAATAGGGACTCGTTTTAGATGTATTAGCCAGAAGCATAATTAGGTGTTATCTAGGCCATTTGTTGTCCACTTAAAGATGATTTTCTTGACCTTTGTGAGATCAACTAGATAAATTTGTGTGTGAGTGGGTGCTGCCAGATGGCAAGGACATATGTAGATATCTGGTCTGTATCTTTGCTTCACAATAACTAAACATGTTTATTCTGATTCCACATGAACTTTGTCTAAGACGTAACAATTTTAGTTCATCTTTGGCCAAAGCCTACCTGAAGTAACATAGAAATATTCCATTTTTTAAATTTCATTTAAACCTGGAAATCAATAGGAAAATATTAAGATGTTTTCAGATCATGTATCTTGGTTAATATGCCCCCAAATGCTTTATGTATGACAACATTTTGGCCTAGAAGAAAGTCCTTGTCTGTTCATGGAAAAAAAGAACTTTCACGATGAGAGAGTGGCTTACTTTCTTGTGGCGTTGATTTTCTGTATTTAACATCCTGTGGCTAAAATCTTACACAGAGCTTTTATAGTTTGTTGTACTGAATTGTATGGAGATTATATACTGAATAAAGCTCTTTTAAGTTACACAAAATCAGCGTCTTTCACTTGTTTGAAGGTCAGAAATCAAGGAAGCAGCGCACTGCAGTGTGTTGAGGATGAAGCTGGAGTGGCCGGGTCTTAACTGAACGTGCTGGCGTTGGCGCAGCTCACTTTCTCACGGGATTTGGTTTGATAGCTGCTTAGTTGCCTCACGTGAGCTTCAAGGTTATAGTTTAGATTTCTAAAGAGAAGGCTGCTATCAGCAGAATTTATCCTCAAAGAAATAAATGCTCTTTGTTTTGACCTTTGGAATTGTTTCTACTTCTTGATTAAATTCTCAATCTCTAGCAATTCAGGAAGATGGGTCATAGTCTACGTTTTTGATAAGAGCGAACCTAACCACTAGACCACCAGGCCGGCCCCAGGAGCATATAGATGACAGATGTGCTTGACTGTTAGCGTTGTTCACAGCAGGTCCTGAAATTTCAAGCAGATGTGGTCAGAGGGGCTGTATACATCCAAATAGAAGAAACTGACAGTGGGATCTCAAATGTTCTGTACCTGTAAGTACGCAATTAAGTGTACTTACACTTAAGGTATTAAGTACACTCAGCTAGAATGGTCTCTAGCAAAGGAAGAATGACAATATAGTTAATGGAGAGATTTGGGGTATGAATGAGCTGAATGTGTCATGGTCTGACATGTGACGCCAGGCACATGGCAGCAGAATAGCTGTTTCTCTGCCCCTCCTTTCAGAAGAGGTATATGAAATTCATCTCAAACCTTTTCAGTTAATTTAATATACAGGAGTTTGCTTTATAGGATTGTTTTTCAAAGTGCAAGTAATAGAACTATAGTGTAATAGAACTATAGTGAAATCAATTTAATGGGTTGCAACCAACATTAAAAGATTGAGAGAGCCAAAAAAAGGGGGGGGAGGGGGAGAGGGCTGAGGAAGGAGGGAAAGGAGAGAGTGGACAGCCCGTACGGTAAATGTAAGTATAGTTTTGTGAAATATTTGTTTCAGTTACGTATGTATGGATTCGTGTACTGGGGTGTAATATAAAATGTATTTCTTTTTTTTTTTTTGGTGAAGAAGTTTGACCCTGAGCTGACATCAGTTGCCAATCTTCCTGTTTTTGCTGAGGAAAATTAGCACTGAGGTAACATCTGTGCCCATCTTCCTCTATTTTGTGTATGGGATGCTGCCACAGCATGGCTTGATGAGTGGTCCGAAAGTCCACGCCTGGGATCCGAACCTGCGAACCCTGGGCTGCGGAAGCGGAGCTCGTGAACTTAACCACTACGCCAGCCCCTAAAATGTGTTTCTTACTGTGAGATATAGTCACAGTTTGAAAGCCACGCCCTTACAAAGGCAGGGAGGATTCTGGAAGGATGGCAGCTTGAACCTGGCTGTGTCCTGTCCCCCAACTCTAGTAGAACCCTTTGAACAATGATAATATTAAAGAATTATTATATATTTTTAGGTGTGATGTGGACATTATTTTTTAAAGTCCTTATCTTTTAGAATATATATTGCTATATATATATATTATATTTGCAGATGGAATTATATGTACAGTGGTCCCCCCTTATCTGCGGTTTCACCTTCCTCGGTTTCAGTTACCCACAGTCAACTGCAGTCCAAAAATATTAAATGGAATATTACAAAAATAATTCATAAGTTTTAAATTGTGCACCATTCTAAAAGTAGCGTGATGAACTCTCTCGCCGTCCTGCGCCATCTCACCCGGCACGTGACTCATCCCTTTGTCCAGCAGATCCACGCTGTGTGTGCTACCCGCTGTTAGTCACTTAGTAGCCGTCTCAGTTATGAGATTGACTTGCAGCATCCCAGTGCACGTGTTCAAGTATCTCATATTTTACTTACTAATGGCCCCAAAGCACAAGAAGAATGATGCTGGCAATTCAGACATGCCAAAGAGAAGCCATTAACGTGCTTCTTTTAAGTGAAAAGGTGCAAGTTCTCAATAAGGAAAGAAAAAGTCATGTGCTGAGGTTGCGAAGATCTACAGTAACTTTTATTACAGTATATTGTTAAAATTGTTCTGTTTTATTATTGTTAATCTCTTACTGTGCCTAATTTATAAATTAAACTTTATCATGGGTATGTACATATAGGAAAAAACATAGATAAAGTCCAGTACTATCTGCGGTTTCAGGCATCCACTGGGGGTCCTGGAAGGTATCACCCGTGGATAAGGGGGGCTACTCTACAGAGTTTGCATTAAAATAATTTTGTGGGGAGTATAGATGAAACACAATTGACCATGAGTTGATATAATTTAAGCTAGCTTGGAATCGTGTAATGAAAAAAGAGAAATTAGAACAAATTAAACCAGAAAACTAGGAAGATTAAAAGATATGAACTGAAATCAATCAACTAGGGAAATAGTAGAAAGGGTAAATAAATCCCCTAAAAAGCTGGATTTAAAAAGCTGATTCTTTTTTTTTTTTTTCCCCCCAAAGCCCCAGTAGATAGCTGTCTGTTATAGCTGCACATCGTTCTAGTTGCTGTATGTGGGACGCGGCCTCAGCATGGCCAGAGAAGCGGTGCGTCGGCGCACGCCCGGGATCCGAACCCCAGGCCACCAGCAGCGGAGCGCGCGCGCTTAACCACTAAGCCACGGAGCCGGCCCAAGCTGATTCTTTTTAAAAGACTAATGAAATAAACACCTGGTAAACCCAATTAAGAAAAAGAGCATTGATCATACTTTTCATCAAATCTGTCTCCTTTCCTGGCTTCTCTTGAGTCTCCTCTACCGCTTTGGCCGCTTGATACTGTTATTTTTGTCTTTTTCTTCTGCTGGGCCCTTTGATGATGTTGTTGTTATTGCGGTAACACTGGTTTATAACGTTGTATAAATTTCAGATGTGCATCATTATACTTCTATTTCTACATAGATTACATCACGTTCACCACCCAAATACTACAATCCTTCACCACATACGTGTGCCTAATCATTCTGTGTGATTCCACATGTCACTACTGTCAGTGGTGAGTGGATATCACCGAGAGAGAATAATAATTAAGAGCTTTCTAACATAGGACTGTCCTTCTTAGGAAGGAAATTCATTACCTAAGACATATTAAAGAAGAGTCTAAATAGCCACTTATCAAAACACTGGAGAAGAAAGTCCTGTATCATTTAAGGGTTTGAGAGAGAGTCTTTTTAACATGCAACTCAATTAAATTATCTTTTGTTTATAATGGCAAAAAGAAAAAGAGCAAAAATATACAAGATTTTGGAATGTGAAAGAAGACATAATCCCAGAATCAAGAATGGTAAGAACTACATGAAATAATGTATACAATTCTGTGGCAAAAAAAAAAAAAAAATTGAAACCCTACAAGAAATGGATGATTTCCTAACAAAATAGAAATTGTCAAAATGACCCCAAAAAAGATGAAAACTTGAATAGAAAAGAACCATAGAAGATCTGGAAAGACATTCAAAGCTTGCAAAGGACACTTGAACAAGAAGGGTACACAGCCAAATTCTTTCCAACTTTTAAAGGATGACTCCAAATTTGTTTAATCTAGGCCATAGGAATATAAGGAAAGCTCCCAAATTTGTTTTAGGAAAATAATCCAATTTTATACCAGAACTCAACACAGATAGTATATTAGTTTCCTAATGCTACATAACAAATTATCATAAACTTTGCAGCTTAAAACAGCATACATTTCTTATCTCAAAGTTTCCAGGGGGTCAGGAGTCAGAGT